CGGATGCTGGGGAAGAACTTTGACAGAGTCCCATCCCAGGTAGAAATACACAAACTGTGGCATATGACGCGTACCATTTTGAAAAGGGTAATTATGAGAAAATATGGGCTGTGAATGAAAACAGGTGTTCAGAATTCATTCCAACAAAGCCAAGTACCTTACACACCCTTTGACTGACAGATTAATTAGGGAAGGGATTTTTTGAATTTTTTTTGCTCCTGTATGTATTTATACATTGTAATCATTATATTCTTTTTCTCTTATAAAAGCTCATAAGTGGTGTTTTTTGCCAGCTTTCATCAAAAACACCTACAATTTTGTAAGTGATAAATTATCTTTTCACATAAATTTTGTTTCCTCAAACACCTACAGTACAGTTGTTATGCTTTATGCTGCAAGAAGAAGATAAGAGCAGGGTCTCTTCCAACAAGCAAAAATGAGAAGCAAATATAAATGAGCTACTTAACTAAAGAGTGTTTGCTGAAACAAATTTTTTAAAATCAGATTTTCACTTTTTATGCAGTGGTTAGCACTGTTGCCTCACAGCGAGAAGGTTCTGGGTTCGGGCCCCACCCGGGACCTTTCTGTGTGGAGTTTGAATGTTCTCCCCGTGCTTGCGTGGGTTCTCTCCGGGTACTCCGGCTTCCTCCCACAGTCCAAAAGACATGCAGCTTAGGTTGATTGGTGTCTCTAAATTGCCCGTAGGAGTGCGTGTGTGTGGTTGTTCATCTATGTGTTAGCCCTGCGATGGCTTGGCGACCTGTCCAGGGTGTACCCCCGCCTTCGCCCGATTGCTGGCCGGGATTTGGCACCCCCCCCGTGACCCCGTTCAGGGACTAAGCGGTAGAAAATAAATGAATGAATGATTTAAGCTTGACTCATCATTAGTCATTGTCGAATCGCTCATCATTCTTTTGATGACATTTTTCACAGAGTGTAGTTCTGTTTTCCAAACTCAGCACTACCTCCTGTACCATGTGTAGATTTAAACGTGGATTTTCTAGTTCTGTTTGTTCTTTTTCCATTTTGAAGCCTTCACATAATGACAGAAATTCAAGGCTCTTTGTTATATGTCAGAAGCCAACACCTGCATTAATTGTTAAACCCTATGATGTTTGTTTCAAATATCCCTTTAGATTGAAGGTGCTATTGTTTTCCAGGTGATGCCACTCGGTCAGAGGGCAGATGAAATGCAGCATGTCTCTGGCCTGCTCTCCGGGCCCCCAGCGTCCCAGCCTGGTATCGCCTCCGGCTTCTCCTCCGCCATCATGGATGAGACTGATGATTACATGGACTACATGGGGGCAGGAGGCAGCCCTTTGGGCCTGTCCTCTGAGTCCTCCAACCAGGACCGCAGCTGCACCAGCACACCTGTAGGCAATGACAGCTCTCCAGCAGGTGAGAAAGAGAAGTGGCTGTTGTCCCAGTGGTGGCATGCAGAGCTCTGATCTAGTGTTGTCTAAAAGGTGAAGAGTGCAAAACAAGTTTCTACTCCTACCAGCAACTTATCATTGGATGCATTCTTCAGTCAGGCTTTTCATGATATTGTAGTTTAACTTAAATCAACACAGTGACACATCTGTCATGTTATATGAGGTTGATGACAACGCTGTATTCTTATGTTTTGATTTATGGGTTAGATCTTTTGCAGTATACCTGGTCATCTTCATAAAACATCCATTTTGTACATCAGTGGTCTGAGTTATTGCACTTATGTAGCTTATTACATTTTCTTTTGGCCAGAGATCATCCCTGTGGCTTTATGTCTACTTTAGCACTTTTACTGGGTTGAACTGTGGGAGAAAGGAAAGGAGCATCAGTCACATTTTCTGCAAACCTACTAAATAAATGGGTTCTTCTCTGCTTTTTTTCTAAATCTGAGCCTGCCTGTGATTTTCACATTTCTCCATGTGTTGCCAATATTACCCACTACTCTCATCATTGTTGTTTTGGCTGGTGTTTGGGTTACTTGTCTTGAATGGGCCTCATTTTGTATCATTCTCTTATCTTTTATCTTTCCCTTTTTACCTCCCATCCCTGTGTGTGTGTGTGTGTGTGTGTGTGTGTGTGTGTGTGTGTGTGCAATTTGGCCCTTGTTTGTGTGGACCTGTCCGTGTGGTGTTTCCCCTCTTGTCTGTCCTTCACCCTCTATGGTCAACCTGTCTCTCCAGGACAAGGCTACCCCGCCACCACTTCTGCTCCTACCACCCTTGCTGACACTAGCGCTACCCAAAATGCACCTCCTTCTTCCCCCCCTCCTCCTCCACCACCACCACCACCACTTCCACCACCTCCTCCTCCCCCCTCTGCTCCTCAGCCTGGCCTCCAGTGCCAGGCCCCATCCCTTTCTCCCGCTCTCCTCCGACCTCCTCTCCCCTCACTCCCATACCTCCTCTCTCCATCCTGTCTGTCATACTCTCTGCTCAGCGCCTCTCTGGGAGCCACTCGGAGTGTTGTCATGCCAACCAACACACCAGCTTTCAGCCCCATCATTGCCACTCCGTCTCCAGTTAAAAATGACGTCCCTATAGTGCAGGATGCTGCAGGTACTTATCCCCGGCGCAAACCAACACTGCAGCTGTCACTCTCTATTGAGTCCTGTGCAGCATTTAACTGTGTGATCCAGCCTTTCTCTGCAGTATTGTTGTGGAAAGACGAGAAAGTAAAAGGGGCTTTCCAGCATGCAAAAAGAAAACATTTATGTAGAAATGATGAGAAGTGCATGCTTATTGCCTAGGTACAGTAACAGAACAAATGTGTATAATTGCTTCACTTACACCTTTGTGTGAGCTTTCACTTTTAGTGTTACTAAGATTTAGAGATACAGCAGTAAATTTGGCACCTGTAGTGTGAAGCCTGGGCCTTGTTTAGCTTCCATTAACAAGGCTGCATCAGCAGCCCCTTATTTTAATCACTCCTCGAGTTTTATCGAGGCCCACTGCTTCCTGTCTTGCAGAACAGTGATCACATCATTAGCAGTGACCCTGGGGTGTTGCAAAAGGTGGGTGGCCCTCATAAAACAACATGGAGATAAGAGGATCGGTTAAGACCCAAAGCTCCAGCTCTATTTGGAGGCTGGAGACACCCTGTAAAAGTGTCATGTTCCAAAGTCAGTCTACCATTTTCCCCCTCCTTTAATCATTCTGGGAAATAGGAATAAAACATTTGTGGCTCTCTGTGCTTACTCAGCTGTGAACCACTTCTGGTTGAGTAAGGTTGCACATTAGAGTTTTAACCAGGCCAGTCTTGCAGTGTAATTTACTTGAAGTTTGTGGGTTTTACTTTGTGAACCAGCTGATTGTTCTTTAATGTTCTTCCTCCCCTTTCTTTCAGGCAACACTATCTCCATTCCCACAGCCACCGGTGCAAAGAAACGCTTCTGGATCATTGAGGACATGTCACCATACGGGAAGCGCCGCAAGACTGCATCATCACGGAAGATGTTGGATGAGGGGATGATGCTGGAGGGCTTCCGGCGCTACGACCTCTACGAGAACTGCAAGGACTCAGGCTGCCAGTTTTCTCTGAAGGTGACCCACTACCACTGCACACGTGAGAACTGCGGCTACAAGTTCTGTGGCCGCACCCACATGTATAAACATGCTCAGCACCACGACCGTGTGGACAACCTGGTCCTGGATGACTTCAAGCGCTTCAAATCCTCCCTCAGCTGCAACTTCCCTGACTGTCAGTTTTCAGGAAACAGCACCCACTTCCACTGTCTGCGCTGTGGCTTCCGTTGCACCGACAGCACCAAGGTGACAGCCCACCGCAAGCACCACGGTAAGCAAGACGTGATCAGTGCCGCTGGCTTCTGCCAGTTCAGCTCCAGTGCTGATTGTGAGGTTCCTGACTGCAAATATAAGCTCAAGTGCTCGCACTTCCACTGCACCTTCCCTGAGTGTAAGCACACAGTGGTGGGCATGTCCCAGATGGACTCCCACAAGAGAAAGCATGAGAAGCAGGAGCGGGGTGAGCTATCATCGGTGTCGCCCAAACAAGAAGGAGCACACCACCTGGGAGGAGGTGTGTCAGCGGTTCCTCCAGCCTCCATGGGTCTTTCTACTTCCTCACCCGGTGGCTTCCACGGGTTGTCCCACAACATTAACAGCAGTGCTCCTTCCATGCTCTACTCAACAGGCGGGATCGGGTCTGACTATACCCACCCATACCCACCGTCCTCCATCAGCCTCGACAGCTCCCTTAACCTGGGTACTGACACCAGCGGCTCCCTGTTTTTCCTGAAGAATGCAGCCGGTCTGGGTCTCAGTGACTCACTGGACCTCAGTAAGAAGATTCACCATGATGCAGCACGATCTGGCCACAGCCCCACACCCCCACTAAGTCTGCCGGCAACTCAGGACGACACCACAGGAACATCTGGAGAAGCTGAAGATGAGCTGTCTGCAGAGGAGGAGGTGCAAGCAGATGAGGAGGAAGAGGAGGAAGAAGAGGAGGCAGAGGAGGATCTGAACACTGACTCAAATGATGATTCAATGGCAGAACCGGAGAGTTTTGATGCTTCCGTTAACCACACTGATACTTCCCCACTGGAAAAGCAAGATGCTGACCCATGAGAAAAAAAAGAGCCTAACAGTGACTAGGAACTAAAAACCCTGTGTACTATGAACAAACAGAAATGAAAGTGGCCTCATTTATCTTCTTTAGAGACTTCAGATGACAACAAAACAACAACAGTGTGGAGAAAATGATGGCCCAAAATGATTTATTATGATGTTTACAAGATGACCAACATTATGAATTCAATTATGCATTAAAAAAATATGAACGGAGACAGAATTAGGCCCTGTTTTACACGTGGGGCAGCAATGTAAAGCATTTTACTACACATCAGTCTTTTTGTGTGCGTGCATGTTTGACTTTAATTTATTTTTATTTTTTTCACTTTTTGTGTGTGGAAAAAAATGTTAGAAAAACAAAAACAAATCTCTATAACTATATATGTAAGCGTGTGCGTGTGTGTGTGTGTGTGTGTGTGTGTGTGTGAACAGTTATATACAAAAGGAAATTGGTGATGCAGGCGACGTGGATACCTAGAAAAAGGGATGTGAATCACTAAGGGGAAACAGGATGTGTTCAAACATTTGATCTTTTTTCTGTATTAATATTATTATTATTATTAATTATTAATTATTATTATTAGACACTGAGAGAACGTGAGTTACCTTTTGCTTGAGCTCATCTCTCTCAGCTGTTTCTCTTTGTTCTCAATGACATGTGGAATTGACCAGTAACTGTTTGGTCAGTCTCAGCTGCAGTCGGGCATCCAGCGGTTCAACTAGCACCAAAACCAAGCTCAGCCCTCGTACTTTTACCCCCCCTGTGGAGGAATCAAGTTTGTCTATGGCTAGTGCACTTTTATATTAGCTGACCATGACGAATACGTTGATGATAGATAACTCATAAGCATATTTAAAAATATTTTTGTTACCATTTGCATCTTTGCATTACAATGTCATTTTGTTGTGTTGTTAATCAGAAGCATATCGATCTGTCAGCAGGCGAGGTCGTGATGAATGGCCGGCGAGTCGGGGGTTGGGGGTTTAAACTGACCAGAGGAAATGGTGGGTCACTCAGATGCAGCGAAGGGGATGGCAGAGAAAATGTCAGGGAGCGTGTTGTATGTTGAAAATGTACAGACCGAAAATGTCTCAACGTTTTGTTTTTTTTGTTTGTTTGTTTGTTTTCCATTCACTATGGCTGTGGTTGAGCTCCTGTTGTAACAGTTTTTATTTAATATTTATGTGACCTTCCAATGAGAAATTTTTAGGGTGTTATTGCACTTTTTAGGTTAATTTTTACTGTCTGGAAAAAAAAAGATATCTTTTAACAGGGAATTTGTTTTAAAGATGTTTTAGTTCACTTTTGCTTTAATGCACAAATAGATGTTAGTGTGACAAAGAACTGTTGTTCTGTGATTTATTTAAAGACTGGGTTTTATTTTGCTTCTGTGATTGGACAGTTTGAAAAGAAAAAAGGAAATAGGTGCACCAGAAAAGGGGCGCCCTGAGAAGAAACACTAATATGGACTGTGATTTCAATTAATTCTTAAGACGTTCATGGCAGTGCTCACTTACTGTAGTACTAAATTATAAATCTGACAAAGCCACCCTCTGGTTTACACTGAGAGAACATGTACAACCAAGGAGTGGACACACTGATCATGGATTATCTCCCGAGCTTGGCATTGGAAATAAGTGATCATAATATAGGGAATAATAATGTGTGTAGATGATATTCCTGCAGCTATTGTTTTGAGGTGAAAAAAAGGTTGTACAGTATTTTCTTCTGTAAAAAAATAACTATATCTGAACAAAATGCTCTTTGATGAACAGCTTCCTTTAAAAAGAAAACCATAAAAAGCAGAAGTGAATAATAAAAAGTTAAAAATTCAGATAACCTCATCATAGTTTGCTTGTGTGCGTGACCTTTTTTTAAATTAGCCCAGATTTTTGAGAAAAGTTGTTCATACTATACCATTGGCAAGATTTTGTTATATATATTTTTTTTCTTTTTCCAAACTCTGTCAGAAGCTCAAGCTACAATTTTTCTGTGTGCATGCTGTTTTTCTTCATTAATTGAAATCCTTGGTTTATATTTACTTTGCTGTGGGCATGCCTTGTTCACAGATTGAACGGTCTCCTGGGATTCTGCTGCAAAGCAGAGGCGTTGCTACAATTTTGTTTTCTCATCGTTTGCTGAGATAACTAGGTGCTGGGAGACATTGTGCACTTGAATTTAGTTTGTGTGTTTGTGTAAAATAGTATGATTTGTAAAAAATTGAAAGTAAAGGAATTATAATTATTATAACAGTGCACATGTAGTGCTTGATATTGCTTTCAGACTGAGGACAATTTGGGTCATGTGTAGAGGGGAAAGGTGCTGCTGGACGACAGCATGGCAAAAGGTCACAGCATCTCTCTGTCTCTTTTTCTGTCTGTAGGTGACACTACTGAAGTGTGTGTGTGTGTGTGTGTGTGTGTGTGTGTGTGTGTGTGTGTGTGTGTGTCTCCCTCTGAGAGAGACAGACAGGCTGCGACTGTAAGAACTCAGATCTGTGGCTCTGTCCCAGCTGCTCAGAGCTTCGATTCATATTTCATGACCTCGCGCATCTTTTCCCTGCTTTGTTCCGCTATAAATCCAACTGGGACACTTTTTTGGTCACAGAATTTGGATAAAACAAAAGAAAAGAAATTTAAAATAATCTGCATTGATGCAGGTAGAGGAATCAACAATATTTGTTGTTGGGGTTGCCCGTTCACGCTTGACGTTCTGGTGCAAGAACAAGATCAGAGCTGAGGACCATTAGGGAGATTTAGAGGCCTGCTACTGCTAACGAGTTGGCTCTCTGTGTCTTGTTCAGTGTTAACAGGGCACTTTTTTTTTTTTTTTTGCCTTGAGCCATGTGCTGGCTTCTCCTCCCATTTCCTCCTGTCACCCAGTGGCTAGTGTGCTGGTTCTGTCCCCTCATCTACAGCTGTTCCTGTCCTTCCTCTTTCTCTTACTTGTGATGTTTTTTAATAAAAAAAAAATAGAAAAAGCACGGGTAAAGGCATCACCATCTGTCAGCCAGCTGGCATCCTGTATATAATCTGCCTGAAAAAAAAAGAATAAACATGAAAATTATATTACACAAAAACCAGATGGAAACGACCTCCAAATCCTGCACAGGCCACTGCTGAAACGACAGATCATTTTACTGTTTTAATTAACAAAGTAAAAAGGATGGTATAAACAAGAGGTGAGGAAATAAAGTGAGAAGTCTTTCCACTCCTGGAGAAATGTAATACGAAAGCTGCCCGCTTACTGCAGTGTATAGTTAATACAGCAACATTTTAAACTTTGTAAAATATACTGCACTTTTTGGACTAAAAGCCATCTCCCGTTAGTGTTCAATTTGGCTAGATTCATGACATTTTATATGAAAAGTAAACAATAAAGCAACTTAAAACAAAAAAAACTAGTTGAATTTGTCACCTTCAGCACTACTACTCATTCTAGTCATATTGCTTTTTTCCCCACTTGGATACAGTGATGTTCATCTTCATTGTGCTATATTTATGCTTTTCTTCTGTTTCTGCATGTCTTATGCAAAGATTGAGCTTTTTACTCAGTGAAATAAAATCATACTGAACGACTTTAGGCCTGTTTTCAGTGTCGGTGTTTTTGAATGATACATACTTTATACTTTTTCACAAAACAGCTCTTAGATGTGTACAGGGGCAAGTGCCAGCAGTGTGTGGTATACATGCGTGCTGGCCCTCACTGACATGGTCCGTTGATGTGCCAGGAACAGGTTGAGTGAGAGCGTGAGCAGTGTGCAGAGGCAACAGTCAGAGCTGGGAACACATACGACAGGTGTGCACTGCATATGTGGTCACATGATGCCTATAAGGCAGATTAGGCCCCAAACAGATGAAGCGCTGCTTAATGGCAGCTTTTATTAAGTTCACAAAGCGCAGAGGGAGGGGGTGAACAGAGAAAAAGCAGGTGGCTGAGCCTGTGCACTCTTAGATGAAGACAGATATTGTACAGTGGAGACTGAAGAGGGTCGCCACTGTGGAAGGATTTATGGAGATTTGCTCACACTAGACTCACCGCCTGCTGCTTCCTGAATTCTGCAGTAATAGAGGGAGAGCTGGAAAAGCTCAGAGAAAAATGTGGCGGCAATGAAGCCAGACAGTGATCTGAAGCCTGTGAGGCCAGTCACTCCCTGGAACAACAAAAAGTAAAAGGATGCACAGAGAAATTTACAAATGACACAATCAGCAATGAAACAGTAGAACATATTAGTGTATGGGGAAAAAATATGCAAACATGCTTTAGATTTATTAGTCAAATAGTAGCTAGAGAAATAGGTACTGTGGTTGGACTGTGGTACTGGGGGTAGAGCGGTCATCTCCCAACTGGAGGGTGGGAGGTTCCAATCATAGTGCCTGCAGTCCACATGTCAAAGTGTGTTTGGGCAAAACATTGAACCCCAAAGTTGCCCTCAATGGTTGGAGCCATCGGTGAAAATAGATGGCTGCCTCAGTTTGGTACCGAAAACAAATTCCTTGTGTGTGTGTAACATACTTGGCCAAATAAAGTGATTCTATCATAAACATGACACGCATATTTTACAGTATCGGTTTTATAATGAATAAATATGAGATGCATGAGGAAAATATTGGTCTATATACAACACACAAAGGATACATTTAAATGTATAACTATTTTTAAAGGAAGTGTTGAGACATGAAGATGTGCACTGCAATGGTAAATTCAATACCTAATTAATTTAATAATTATTTTACATTCAGCTACGTGTGTGAAAATTACTAAAATATGCAGGTTTGGCTACTGTATACACATGATTACATTTCCATCTTATACAAAGCTATAAACATGAAGCCAGCAGAAAAGGGCAATAATGAGTGTATGTATGTCTTTTCTCCTTACCACTACATAAGGAACAGATCCGTAACGTCAGTCAAGCATCTGTTTGGACATATGTACTGTACAGCATAAAGATGCCAACATAACAGAGCCTCTACTGTATAGTGCACTGTGTTGCAGCCTGAGACAGAGATGCTTCAGGGAGCTGTGATGGCTACATCACTGTTCAGTTTCATCCACATTTATCTGCCAAAACTGTCTCCAGACACTAGTTTAAGCTGCCTAGTCTTCCCTGAGTTTTGCTGATACTTCTTGACAAACATTTTTTTGTAGGATAAATTGTTCAAGCAAAAAAATGATTTATCCCTAATTTAAAATTTTTGCTAGCATTCAATGACAAAGTCTCATTTGATCTGTAGATGCTGAATGCAAATAGAAAAGTGTTACCGTATCTTTGTAAAATAAACAAGTTTTTACTTGTTAAAAACAAGTAGAAGCACAATTAGCTTACAATATAAGACAGCCCCAGAATG